GAGAATTTTATTGGAAAAATCAACGAACTTTTGGTTCATTATAAATTTATAGTTTAATATTACTGATTTTTGGGCTTAATTTTTTACGAACAATATCAGGTTTGATCTAAACAGGTGCAGCACTTGAAGTTTTTTTACGAATTATTTTATAGAATTGGAAGTAGTTAGACATCAATTTAAGCCCTTTTTTATGACGGGAATAACTTATCGACCAATTTAATTCCCAGATTTCTATGAAAAATCACAACTGCAAGATGTAAATTGGCCAATACGAATAATTGTTTATAACAACGGACAATCAGTTAAGGATTGTAGTGAAATGCCAGGATCCTTTTGATTCGAAGGGATTCCAGTCTGTGGGTGGAATTATCGGAATCTCCGCGTCCCATTCCCACAAAGCTAGGCTTTTCATTGTTTCGGACGGCTTGTGCAATTTTACTCACATAGATCTCAAATCCAACAAGAACCATCGTCTGGAAAATGTGTGCTACCGGAACATTTTATAAATATTTCATGTAACGATTATAACTCACTTTTCCAGTGGTAAAGTACGAAGTAAGATGCAATATTCTGGGTGTGCAATATGCGGCGCAATTCACTATTTTTCGTGGTCCGCTTGACTAATTAATATCATGCAATTAATTAAGGTTTTTAGTTGAGATAAAAAGTCAGTGTCGCGAGGGGGATTCGAACCCACGACCTTAGGCTTGATATGCCGCTACTCTACCACTTGAACTATCGTGACTTCGATCCACTCGGGCACTAACTTCTCATCTCAACCCCACCTTTTGAATTTTCCTTCCTTTTTGCCATTTTTCAAATGTCATGTAATCTATTTGATTCTCGGCGACAAATGAAATGGCTACGGAGAGCTTTAGTGAAGTATACTTCATTTTAATTCATTTTTCGTGGTCCGCTAGACTAATTAATATCATTCAATTAATTAAGGTTTTTAGTTGAGATAAAAAAAGTTGGAGTCACGAGTGGAGAAGTTAGAGCCCGAGTGGATCGAAGTCACGACAGCTCAAGTGGTAGAGTAGCGGCGTATCAAGCCGAAGGTCGTGGGTTCGAATCCCACTCGTGACACTGACTTTTTTATCTCAACTTAAAACCTTAATTAATTGAATGATACTGCGCAATTTGAGAGCTAATGTATCCCCTACTGTATCTACAGCATACTGGTGAGTCCTAGTTCATGAAGATATTTGATTAATAGGCTCGGTTTCAGTGGTTGAATTTCTTACAGTTTTTTACGTTACATCCCAAACTGCGCGAAAACTCCTGCGGGAAAATGTAGCGCCCAGCTTGTTAGTAGGTGCGCATCTCCTCTATTTTTTGCAGAATCCGCATCTACCGTGTTGGGTTATACCGATCTTCATCAAATGTCCATTTAGCCTAGACATCTTCCAGTGTCCTGTTAAGATTTGAAGTTTTTTTCCTGCTTCCTTTAATACATTCGGTTACTTCTTTCCTTCCAAAACTCGCACTTTCTTGGATTGTTTGTGTCCAATGAGTGAATTCCACTGTTCCCTCATTTTCGTTTTCTCTTTTTGTCTAAGATACAAACTGGCAGTGTAGGATTCTTCCTTCTGCCACAGAAGGGTCAGGACCTTAGCGTTATAGCCCCTTCCTTCTCCAACCCGGCAGAGAGTAACTTTATTTTCCAGACCTAATTTGTTCAGTTTAGTTTTGAACTTCAGCATGATTTTTGAGCTAATGATTTTTCATCTTAGGTGGTTGCTTGGCTATTTCAAATTTTTGTTTTTGTACCCTTCGTTCAAATTGAACATGTCTTAATTGCATGGACTTCTGTCTGGAGTATACTGGCGTATTTTCCCATGGGATTTGGGTATTTGGTTCCAGGGCCGAACACTCCACCGCAGAACCTTCTTGCATTCTAGATCCATCAGTGTACCAACTGATGATACCGAATGATAACATAATAGTCCTAACGCATTTTTTAAAATTATAAAAGGTGTAATTAATAGGGTGAATCATAAAACATGACCGATTTCAATTTCATGGAAATTGTCATCCCTTATAGGCTTTATTTGTTTTTCAAACCAATTAGATTTGATACCACTTTAATCCGTAGTGTATACTAAATGAATTTGTAAAAAAATGATCTTCAAAACTTTAGTGACCAGATACAAAAAATGTATAATGTTTTGACCCGGCGTTACCCAGGGTTAGGAAACAGAAATCGGGTTTTATTTCAACAAGATAACCCTCGACCATATACTTCTCGTTACACGAATCAAAACGATGCAGAATTGGGTGGAATTGAGCTTTTCCCTCACCCAGCATACAGTCCAGACTTAGCACCTTCCGACTACCATCTGTTCCAGTCCATGGCTCATTATCTTCACGAGATAACTTTTAATTCTCTGGATGAGGTACATAATAGAGTTCCAAACCCAAAGAGTGGTATGTGAAGGAATGCAACACCTGGCCTTGAGATGGCAACATTCCATAGAACACAACCGTATTTACTATCAATATTTTTAAAAAATTGTGTAAAAATAAAATTATTTTTAAATTATCAAGAAAACCCGTCATTTTTATGACTCAGCCTATTAAATAGAATGAATATAAATAAGCACGCTGTAAAGTAATATTGATTTCTAGCTTAAAACAATAAAATAGCCGACGTGACAAAGTGAGTTTTTCTAATTCTATTAAAGCACGATCCCCGGCGTGAAAAATCATGGTTTATGATGTCTAAACATTGCAAAATAGATTGCTACGGGCGTCTGGTAAGTTTCAAGTCCGCTATGGCGGGTTCTCAAAGCTGACAAAACGACCTGTAATTTCGTTTGTGAAATTTACGCTTAATGATATCAATGATTTGACACCACGTATAGGCCACCTGACGTAATGGACGGAGTGGGAAAAAATGTGTTTAGCTTTTTTTTGGCATTATGTAAAGATGTATGCAACAAAAGATAGAGGATGGGGCAAAAACAACTGATTCAAGTCACAACATTGAAAATATTCTCGTCAAACATTAAGTTTTAAAATATTCAACATTACGCAATTCTTTTTTATTTTAACTCTACTTTCTCTCCATTTATCCTTTAAAAAAAAAAAACTAAACATAAACTTGTTGATAATAAAAAAAAGTACCTTAAAAGGTACTATTGTTATTTTTAGTACTACCACCCCTCTTCGTTCTGATATCAAGTCTTACAACTTTTGGAAAAATATTTTAAAACATTCTACAATAGCATATCTCAACTCGATAAAATCAAAATCAACGATGAGACACGTCAAAAATACAATTGGTCTAAGTAAATTCTATTGGTATCATAAAAAACTTTATCATAAAGACATTGCGAACTTTTTTCGGGTGAAAAGCTGTATATTTTCCCTACTATTTGGTCTAACTCCAATTCTACTCCATAGATTTCAATTTTGATGCGCATTTCTTTTTCAGAAGGGTCTGTACTTTTAGTTTAAGCATTAAATCAAAGGTTCTACGGTATTTCAACAATTCCTCAAGGTCATTTACGTGATAAAAGTGAGGCTAAAAAGTCATTTTTCCGTGCAATTTTCTCAGAATCTATTTGGTCTGTTACAATCAATCGTTTTATTTTATTTTTACGAGTTTTTTGTAAACAAACAAATCGATTGCTCCACTCCTGGTTGTTTTTAAAATGCCGCTGGATGATATTATTTACCCTTTATTGCTCTAGAAAATGAAAAAAAGAATCATTTCAATATGAAGAAAATTTTTAGAGAATAAAAAGGTGGAAAAATACAACTTATCAACAAAGGCTGGAATTTTTCTCACTGCCGCAAGATTTTCGCCATAAAAACAATACAGACCAATTTAATTATCTTAATATAGTACAAATTCATAGCTATCAAATTGTGACAATAATTTACACTTTTTTTAGAAAAAGAATTTATTTCTCCGCACCTGGATGGTTTTTTTAAACGCCGCTATGCACGGTTGTTTGCCTATTATTGCTTAACAAAATGAAAAGCTGCTCTACCACTTGAGCTATCGTGACTTCGATCCACTCTGACACCAACTCTCCATCTCAACCTACAACCTTTCGACATTTTTCAAATGTCGTGTGATCAGAATTCGATTCTCAGCGACTTACGAAGTGGCCACGAGGTTAGTGAAGTGATACTTCTTTACTTATTAAATATTAATCCATTTATGTTTTAGTGGTCTAATTGATCAAATACATTTGAATTAAGTACTTTTGTCAATTAGACTGACATAAATAGATTAAGATTTTCACAATATTGTAAAACAGACTTTTAGATCTGACTTATAGACGAATGAAAATATTTGTTTATAAAGAATAAACAATAAGCGTTGATACTTTTCCCCTACGTCAACACACTAACTTCCAGAAAACGATATGCTTGTTGCCGTTATGACGTTTATTAAATTTTCCGTTTTCTCCAACTCATCAAAAGTTATAATTTTTCACATAGACGTTACGTATTCTGGTGCTAATTCTTTTGACAGTGACAGTCCACAACTTCTGAAATATTTCTATCTGCTTTCTCGTACAGTCTTTCGATTATAAGCAAAATTTGACGAGCTTAAATGTTCCATAGTAGGTAATTTTGAAAGATTGAAAAATAAAACCATGGATGAGAATTTTCTGGCATGTTTTTCTATGTTTACAATATTATAGACTTCGATAAATATGTGATTTACATATATAAACCAAAATATTTTGCTATAGATATTTATATATGTATATCAGATTTAAAATTTAAAAATATTGCCAATTCAAAAAAAGCATAAATATTGGCTTTTTCTATATTAATTGTGTATACGATATGAAGCTGGACGATTGAAGTGGGCAAGCAGACCACGTGGGTAAAAGAAATTAATTCCACTTATCAAAAATCGAACGGAAAACAAAATGAGATCGAAACAGAAAATTCAATTGGCAAAATGTCAAGCAAAAAATGGAAATGTTGGAAGACGGTGAAAGGTCATATTTAAACGAAAAACACTTTCCACTCACCAAGGACAAATAACGTTAGAAGATCCCCGAATCGATGTGGTTGTTTCAACAGATCCACTGTAATTAGAGAGAAATAGAAAAAGCTCACAAAGTAGGAGTACAAAGAGTCCAGGAGTCTGGGAGAGTACTGACAACCGACTTGGAAAGAGAGCGAGAGGGCATCTGGTTGAGGATGGTGGAGGGGGCCGCTGTGGCAGGGAAGGGAAATGCCGGCCGATTTCTGTTCCCCCTTGCACGTACAATCAATTTTATTACATTAATATTCTTGAATTTTTTATGAGGTATAAATATCATTTTATAATACCGATTATCTATAAGGCGAAGCTTTCACATCCCTCCGTACTTCCCTCAACTGCATCATTACACATAACCTCTCAGCCCGGCCATTATTAACTTATTAGAATAATAAATTACTCTTTAATAATTAAGAAGTTTAAGAAAGTTAATTTTAAATAGTAAGGATGGTATTTATACCGAAAGGAGGAAGTCGCGCCTCGGATCCAGCAGGAGCCAGTAAGACCCATAAGCCTAATTTCATTTGCTCTCAGACTGTACGAATATCACCAACTCAAGGATCCTCAGAGATGGGCAATATCGCGACTATGGTTGCTAATAGTAAATAATCCAATCAGAGAGCTTAACTGAAGTTTCCGAAAGGACTGATCGATGAGCCGGATCGTGATGTAGACTCAGTAGAGAGCGAAGGCACTCGCGCAGCAGGCAGCTACGTTGGCGAGAGTTGATGCTATAAGTACGCTTGTTAAGCCAGAAACACACTTACCCGATGCTACGCCATGCGACGCTACCCGATGCCACCCGACGCAAATCCAAACTCCGATTTTCCATAAGGTTGCATTACCCCCGTGCACATCTACCGATGCTATGCCACGCTAACCTACCCGACGCTCTGCGATCCCCACTGTCCAGATTTTCGACGGGTCGCATCGAGTACAGACGAAGACAAAAGAACCGGACACTCAAATTTTTATTCAAACTATATGTGTTATTGTCTTTATATTAATTACAACATACTTATTTTCATATAAACCAAATTAACTATGATTAAAAATTAATTAGTTTTTATTTAAAAAATTAATTTTAATGGTTTGGTAGAAAATTAATCAAAACAGCGGAATACGATTTTTTGATATAATGAATTTTACTAACTATTTATTGTACTCGCTTCGGTGGTACATATACTAAAATTGGAACAATTTATTACACGGTTTTGCTCATAAAATTTAATTAACAATTTATTTCATAGTTTTGCTCGTAAAATTACACCATTTTGTAATGTCGGGTAGCATCAGAACAGGACACTCATATTTTTTGTAGTTTTTTCAAACTAAGTACATGTAATTTTGTCGTTATATTAATTACATGTTATTTTAATGTAAACCAAATTAAACGAGATCAAATATGCCAAGTTTTTTTATAAACATTGTTTAATTATGATGGTTAGGATTAACTTTATTTAAAACAATTAAGTTTAACAAACAATTTATTAAATGGTTGTGCTCATGAAATTTAACTAACAAAATTTCTGTGCAAGGTTTTCCTCAAAATAGTGCATTAAGAACAAGAGATGCGTTGCGATTGTGATAGTGATTATTGTGATAAACGCTGTGGACTGTACGCGACGTGTACTTGCGTCGGATAGATGTGCACACCCCACCAAAACGTGGCAAGGCGTCGGGTAGCATCGGGTAGCGTCGCATGGCGTAGCATCGGGTAAGTGTGTTCCTGGCTTTACTGTAGATAGTGAAAGTTGAGATCGAGTCGAGGAGTCCGAAATAAGCTGGTTGAGCTCTTATATATGGAGCTGCTGCAAACTCATTGGCTGCAACGTGAAAGGCAAGACCATTGTTGAAGCAGTGACACTGGTTAACTTGCTAACCACAGGGGATCACCACAAGATAAATAATTGAAGAATAAAGAACTAGCGTTCTATTGATTCATGGACATAGAAAAAGCTTAGTAGAGTATAGAGCCATTTAAGTTCATGGCTAAGAAAGTATAGTCCGACTACGAGCTAGATATTAGCACAGTAAAAAGTCGGATAATAAGCGCTGAACTTCGTCATTAGACTATACAAATATCACCTACACAAGATGCCCCAAGGATGGGCACTATCGTCACTATGGTTCCTAACAGTAAATCATCTAATCAGAGAGCTTAACAGCTGACCGTACCTCACGCAGATGACCTGGTAACAATCATAAAGGGAAAATTAAATAACTCTGTCAAATCAGATTAAAAACGCCCTAAACATTGTAGAAAGATGTTACAAAATGGGTTTAAATATCAACCCTTAAAAAACATCTATCATTTCACAGAAGAAGGAATCTAACCCTAAAAACACCCGTTAAAAATGAGCCTTAACATTCTCCAAAAAAACAAAGTACCCCAGGGTGACGTATTGGTTATTCACCACAACGGTCAGACCTCTGGTAACATATGGAGCTCTAGTATGGCGGCCGAAAACACTGCATAAGGTGACACAAAGCACACAGCAAAGCCTTCAAGGACTAGCGTGTCTTAGCATAACAGTGGCGAACATACTTGCCCTAGCTATGAAACCGCCCTTTATGTCCCTCTCTTGCACATTTATGTACAAAAGGTGGCTTCGAGAGTGCCAGTAGACTCCTGAGATACAAAGAAATAAAATCAAAGGACAATCCATGACAAAATTGTAGAGAGAAATAAGATAAATATGATGGCTATAACGGTACCAAAGATGAAATCTCAACTTTGACAGACCCTTCCAAGTGGTTATAGATAACAAAGGAAAAAGGTAACCCCAACTTTCCGGAAGGATCTAATGTGGCATACTAATGGATCAAAGATGGAACAGGGAATAGATATAAAAGGGCCGAATTACCATACCAAAACACCTTGAAATAGTTCCAGTTTTTGAACGATCGAACTCTGGGGATTTTTCAGCATATAAATAAAGCTGATTAGTATTCAGAATTGATCACCTGATCAACCAAAATTGGGACTCTTTTTTTCGACCAATCACTCAATGAAGTTGGGAGTTCTTCGGATGTATTTTAAATATCCGACGAGTCTGCTGAGGCGATAATTCGTTAGGGTTTGTTTCTGCACTTTGTTGTCAACCAAGAAACTTTCCCAATGACCTGTTATACGAAATTCAATGCATCACTTTCAATATTTTAATTCTACTTTCCTCTAACCTGTCTAATTTTACTTTCAATGCCACATATTCCCTGAAGCTTTTCTTAAGCTAGTCTTCACTTCTTAGCATGACATATTTTCCACTGTACCTTGCATATTCCAACGTCTGAAAAATAACATCATAAAATTTCCTGGATTTCATGACGTAGATAACCTTTTTTTCGAAACCTCAAGGTCCCATAGCTTAGGTACATTCAATAGAACTCTTTGCACAAGAAATACTTAAAAAAGAGTAAAAGGTGCATAGATATATACTCTGACAAAGCAGTGAAAGCGTTGCTTCTCCACCTTCAACGTATCTCCAACTTAGGGGAAAACACAATCACCTCTAATGGGGTGCCAGGACACGAGGGGTTTGAAAGCAACGAACCGGCTGACAAACTAGCAAAAGCAGGAACCCTTTAGATCAGAAGCGTGATTTGGCATACCTCAAAACATGCTAAAAACAGAATTGAATGGATGGGGAAAGAAATGGCCACACCAAACATTTCAACCAAGATAGCGAAAATCCAACACCGCCTTTGCTGCCGGCACAGATTGGCGTTGCATGCTTCCAGCACCCCCTCATTTTAGCGGACTTTGGGAAGCATCCATTAAATCCGCCAAACGCCATCTGCGCCGCATCGTCCGAACTCAACTCCTTACGTTCTAAGAATTAGTACCGTTCTCACCCATCGAAGCCGTCCTCAACTCTCGAGGATAATCTCAAAAACCATCAATCACAACTCGCTTCCCTCCTTTTTTCTCAAAAACCCGTCCCTTCTAGCCTTTTTCGCTCTCTTCTCCACCAGTTCTCGGACCTAGAACACCTCCTATCGCCCTATCTCCCCTAAGTGTTGCACAACAGTAATTAACTACCTCATAAGATCGCTCTTTCCATAGCCGTTTCTTAAAGTCACATCGCCACGCGTATCTCCACGGATTCCCCTTTCAAATCGCCATACAATCTTCAACTCATCTCCCGACCGCATGGTCCCAAACTTATCATCGCCATTTTCTATTAATAACCTCATCTCCGTTGATTCCCTTTAGATCATTCCTCCTTCGCCCTTTTTGTATATCCCTCGCTCCTCATCATCCTTATACTAAGTACCACCCTTCATCATCTCCGAGAGACTCCTTTCACCACATTACTGCCATCGCCACTGGATTTCTTTATCCACCTTCATCACCGCTACTGGAGTCAGACCGGTGCACTGCCCTGGTCATCGCCCAACATCGCAGTAGATCTAGCTAGAGCAGTCCGCCACGTGCTTCACTCGGCGATCTTACTACGCAGTGAGTCATAATTTCATCATCTCTCATTCTTCCTGTGTCATCTCGATTATCCTCTATTCAATCGGGACGTTACACTCCCCTTGGTGCCGAAACATTTAACTCCCTTTCCTTCTTTTATAATCTATATCTCTTATTTTCGGTGATGATCGTCGGCGCCATTTTGTGAATTGGTTGCTGGCGAACAGTGGCATTTTGGTCTCATCGCTTTGAAAGTAAGTTCTATAAATGGTAAATTACCCTTATTTCATACATGCTTTATTTTATATTAAAACTTTAATTTGGCCGAGTCCTCGTTATTTATCTCTTCCGAAAAAAAGTTCTGTAAACTTGGCAAACCGCCTCTGGCACAGTCGCTTGATGACAGCATCTTCGCTATATACAAAGTACATATTTATTCGTGCCTGACTTCACATATTTCATTTACTGAAATATCACTGCATTAAATCAGGGAAAATATAAATTATTTTGTTCCAGCTGGCAAACCTACTAGCAGACTAGCATAACGGCGAATTATTTCCAAAATAATTATTAAGAATAACAGACTTCAACATCTTAAAAATTTCATTATTTTCTGGTCTACCCAAAACCACAAACATCGTATTATAGTTATTCAATAAGCAAAATATTAAAGAAAAAAATATGCATATAAGTTTTTAAAAGGAAAAA